GCCAATCAGATCATCTGCTGCTGGGCATGTTGGAATACGAATAATGCTGTGACATGTTTAGCATTCCCTCCATGCTGCAGCATCATGAGCTTTGCAGAGATTTCCCAGGGTGTTGTCCTCTTGGCTGCCAGGATTCTGGAGGGGGGAGGGTGATCAGAACAGTACTGGGCATAGCAGGTAGCATTGAACAGCGAGCTACTTTTGGAAAATTAGCACCAAAACACACTTAACTGAGCCTCAAACCTCTAGCCAAAGTGATGGCATTGTACTTTGTAAACATGGGTAACACCTGCATTAATAAATGTACAGTTGTCCATGCCATTTATACCAGAGGAAAAGCTAAATAACTGAAACACCTCTCTGTGTCTACTGCAGTACAAACTACAGCCTCCAAAATGACCACACAATCAACACCTCTCTAAAACCGTTCCAACAGAAACTGAACATTATAATCTTCATGAAGGAAAGATTTGTTGCTGAACTGTAGAATGCAGTAGTTTTTTTGGTTACTGTAAGGATTATAATATGTGGGGTATTCACACACATAGAAAAATGTCTGGTTAGCTGACTATTTTGGTAGTTGTTTAGAGCAATGTGATGGCATTTTTCATTATTGTCAGAAGTTTTAAAAACCATTTGAGTAGTATAGTATATGTAGTATAACATTTTTCTGTATTGAATAACCTACTTGTAACTCAAGTACATTTTTGTGATAATACTTAGCATTTTCAATGCAGGACTTTTACTTGTAACAGAGTACTGTTAAGTCAAGAATGTGAATACTTCATCTGCTACTGGTGCTAACATGCAAAATAATGTGCTTCACTTATAGAACATCTTTTTTTTCTTTCTCATGCTTAGAATTCTGTTTCTCCTTTAGTCAGTCTAGTCCAGCTCAGTCAACTGGCACAGTCAATTGCAATAAAAAACAAATACCCCTCTCTTTTCATTCCTTTAAGGTTCATTGAAGCTGATAATAACAGTAATTGTGTAATACCATAATACTGTGATATTTTCTGAGACAGTCATCATACCATTGCAGTGTTAGTGCTTGAGCAAAGTTGATGATAATAGGTCAGTGGTTCATCCTTAAGAATCTTAATCAAACCCTCTAAGCGTGTGTGTGTGTGTGTGTGTGTGTGTGTGTGTGTGTGTGTGTGTGTGTTTATTTGTTTGTGCCCTCTAGCTCTAATAAGCCCCAACATCCCTATGTCAAATTCACTCTGCTCTGCTTTTGAAGACACAATGTGGCTCCTATTTAACATGCACTGAGTCAGCTTCCCCTGTGGTGGCCTGGAGCTGAGTGTGTGTATTTGTCTATCTGTAACCATGCGAGCATGTGCATGAGAAGAAAAGAGTACTATTCTGTTAATGCATCAGTCCAATAAACAGAAAACCCTCAGTGAAGCTTGGTGACTGGGCTTTGTGTGCCTCTGGCTAGGTTAGCCTGGAGAGAAACCCTGGTCCATCGTGATCCTGTTTCTGGTGTGATACTGCTATACGAACCTAATCTCTACTTATGATCATGTGACTTATGCTGTCTCTTTCTCTCACACACATAGTCCCACCCCCTTCTGTGGTCTCAGCTGCTGCTTAAAAACACGTTTTACCCCCTGGACTGTCGAGTGTCTTTGTTGTCATGGTTAATTCAGTCGGGGCACTGATAGATGTGGTGACTTGAAGGTGTGCTCCCCACTTTTGTTGGTGCACTCACTAGTATAGCCATATTCTATAAATTTGAGACTCAGTGCCATTCATAGTTTTGTTCAGAACAGAAAAACAGTTTGGGGGCACTGTAAAAAAAAAAATAAATAAAAAAAAAACATGCTAATGCATCTTTAAGGCAAGTAGTTAAAAACAAGCCTGACGTGTGCTCAGGCACATAACTCTCTGCTCTGAAACTGTGCTCTGTCTCTGTCTTGCTTTTGCATTTTATTTCCTTGCTGCATTGATAAGAGTTGTTGGTTGATTTGGTAATGCCCTGTGTTTTTGTCTCCTCTCCTTGTTTTCCTTTGTCAGGCTTTTGGGAACGCGAAGACAGCGCACAACAACAACTCCAGCCGCTTTGGTAAATTCATCCAGGTTAATTATCTGGACAATGGAGTGGTCAGAGGGTGAGTAATTGATACCAGCTGTACATGTGTATTTTTGCAGCCAACTGTTCTCAGCAAGGTCTCTCACAAAGCCAGATCAAGCCATGTTGCCTTAATCTGTTGTACGACACCATACAAGGACATTTAAATGATCACGTTTGTTTTTTTGTACCCTCCTTCTGTTGTTCGTCATCAGGGTCTTCTACCTGTCTTTTCGATAACATCTTCCTCTTTGCTCTTTTTCTGGCTAGTCATGTGGTTCCCCTTCTGTGCAGTGTGTGTGTGAGAACTGAAACTTTCAACCAGTAGCATGTCCTTCCTTTTTTGTAGCAGACTCTGGTTAGGAGCTGCATCAAAGTCTCGTCAGCTGTGCCACTTCCTCATCAGGAGAGGGGAACAGCTGCTCTATACAGTGTCTGAAAAAGACATGTTGTGCTCAAATAGTGGAAGAGTCTAAATCTTAAGGGCTGCAGAGAACAACGATATGAGGATGAGATTTCTCACAACGGTGTATATACAGTATATGTGATTTGAATCATATAAATGGGGACAGCTGCCCAGTGCCACAGCAATTGGAGTTTTCTGTGCTACAAAGTTGAATTCCTTAAACATGAAAATGTGTAAAACTTAAGAACTAAAACACTTCAGTAGTTAACCACTGTTGTATGTGCTAGTGTAACCTTCTGCTTCACAGCAGGAAAGTTTTCAGAGGACCATCACAGCTCTGCTCTGTTGACTTAACAAAGGATGCCTCTCTGTCTCTCCATCTCCACTGGCAGCCATTCAGACAGTCAATAGAAGAGATTAACAAAGGGAAGACTGCTGTTGGCTTTGCTCTGCTTTCTGAGCAGACTCACTAACTGACAGGTGGGGTGGTTTTATCCTCTCCCTCTCTCTCACTGTGGCCCTCACTGGGATCTGAGCGAGATGGAGCAGAATCAGGAAAAGCTGAAATGTGAAAAGGAGGTGGTGTGTGAGTAAAAGGTGTCTGAGAGCTAACATGTGTTGTAGATACAGTATGTGTTATAAGACTTTTCTTCCCCATTTGGAATATTGTGACTGATATATTGTATAGCCAGTATGT